TAATTTCATGGCTGCAGTCTCCGTCTGCGGTGATCTTGGAGCCCAAATAAATGAAGTCTGTTACTGCTTCCATTTCTACCCCTTCTATTTGCCAGGAATATGTGTGTGTATATTAATAAGTAATGTTCATGTTGGAGACTAAAAGGAGTATTTGTCTACTGATCTTCTGATAAACTTGCAAAGGGTGCTTTGCAAGGTGACACATTCCCTGCGTAATGGAATGTGAGAAAGCAACACATTACAAAACATTACCTGGAAGGTAATCAAGAACACTCACACACTTACAGTTTCTCCAACAAGATCTTGTACTGTTCATCTCCTCGACCACCTTCCACTTCTTGATCTAATTTAGTGATCAGCTCATTTTCAAACTGCAAGTTCCAGACCAAAAGAAACAAAATCATTCAAAGGGTTTCCCTTAAATCATTTTTTTTTTTAAATCAGGAGGCGCTCCTGAACCTCCCATGTCAAAAAACAATCAGAATTTTCCAACAGAAATGCAAAATGAAACATCAAAGTAAATGATATATTATGAGAATTCAAGAAGGAATGTTAAATTAGGCTTTGTTCCCACTATCATTTTTTCCAAAATAATTTTGACTTGATTCTGTCTTTTTTTTGCTCTGAAACAAACTTTTCAGAGTTTTCTTTTTTTACTACTTTTTCTATTTATTTCGACAGTACCCTAAACTAGGAAGTTGTGGCTCTTGCTAAATGTATGGATAAGAATGAGAAGGCATCACATGGTGTGATGCAAGTTTAAATCCTTTGGAAAAATACATGAAACAGGAATATATTAAAGTAAGTACGATAGAGGTGGCCAGAAACCGGTCAGTTAGTAATTTCAGATAATATCACAGGTCCTAAAAGAACAGAAATCCCACCAAGTATCAGAACACCTACTCTTGGCCATAGATCCATGCTGCCACTCTCTTTCCAAGGGGCCATAGCAATATGGTAGAATACTTAACTTGAAAGTAGAAAGCACCAGGACTGAGACCTGTCATTTCTGATTAAAGATGTTAGATAACAAGCAATTGCTAAGACGTCTCTTGGCTTCAACTATGGAGCTAGTTCAAAGTTCCTGTCAGATCTTGCCGAAGCAAAATTGCCAGCAGGTCCAACCAATGTGGCTGGGGTGGGATGGGAGTAGTGGGAGTCCTAACTCAGCAACATTTGGAAGGACACTATTTCTCACAGTTGGGCTAGATCAGGGGTCCCCAAACTGTTCAGCTCATTGACTCCTTCATGAAGTTTCAGATGGTTCATCAACCCTGATACATTTATTATATGAAAATAATTTAATAAATACTACTTTAACTGATAGTACTATGAATAATAATAATAGAGACAACTCAAGGCTGCTCTTGCTGGTGGCTGACCATCCAACCTTGGGTAACACAGTCTTGCTGCTAGCCACCTCACCTTCATGACTAGGGGCTGGTGTGGATCTCTACAGAAATCCCAAAAGATTAATTGACCCCAATCTACCTTCCATCATTTATCGACCAGCTACTGACCCCCAGACATTTACTGACCTCCTTTTGACCCCCAGACATTTACTGACCCCTTGGATAGTCCCATCCAACCCCTGGGGGATGATATTGACCACTTTGGGCCCTGGGCTAGATGGATCAATATGTGATCCAACAAAAGCCATCTTTCTATTATGCTGAGGCCCACTGAAAATCTCAGAAGGAAGTCCTGTTTTTTCTCTGTCAGTCATTTTAGATAAACCAGTCCTACTGGAAAGCAAGTAATGGTCCAGTTTAGGCAATCATGGTTTGATACTGATTTAGTTACACTAACTGCTGAAGTCTGTATGGTATATGACAAAGAACTATGCTTTGTCCTGAAGAAAAAGCAGAAATATTGCCTTCAGGTATCTCCTCTTGCAAGGCTCATCAGTTTATTCATAATTCCTTACAACTAGTTCTCAAACTTTCCCCACACTCTATAAGCTAGTTCTGTACCATACGGAAATTTCTGCCCCCGCTGAAGTTGAATTCACATTGCATCATGTCAAAAAAGATAGGGATGGTGGCTTTTCGCAACTCAGGCTCTGGCGTCAAAGTCACTTCCAGAATTGGGCCCACCATAGAAGGGATGAACTTGATCTTATGAGGCCCTGAGAAAACAGAAGAGGGGAGGGGGGAAACAGGAGTGAAGATCAAGCAGATGGACTGCTTTGTCTAACACAGCAGCTGCTGTTCACCCACAAATCCCTTTCGATTCAATTTTTAAGTCCTTCATAGGCAGACAGCCCAACAGCTCTCTTCTACTTTCTCTAGGATTCCTGTGAAATTCTCTAGGATTCCAGCTTACCACGATACCAACATAATAGTGGGGACAAGATGGGAGAAAAGCCATTCCCAAACACTAGGAATGCTTCTTCAGTTCAAATGATCTCTCTTTCTCTTTGCATGTTGTCTCTCATTCCCTCCTGTTTAATGTAGGCTTTTGAAAACTTTGTCAGGAATATCATAATGAACCATTCTAGAGCATGCAGCCTTCATGAACTTGGAAGCCCTCCGAATGCATGGACTTCACCCTTCAGAACCTTCAGCAATGGCCATGTTGGCTGGATCATTCTGGGGAGGTGAAGGCCAGACATCTGCTTAGATTGGGAAAGGCTGTTGTACTAGGAAGCTTATTCAGTTCACACAGGTACTGAACTCCTAGTGGCTGCATTCACACAGCATGCAAAACGTGTATGTTTTAATTTTATTAGGGTGGGGATTTTTTTATTTAAAGACTTGTGTGAGTCCAGCCTGTCATTATTTTATGATTCCAGCAAAGCCAAAACATAGGTTTACTTGGTAGATTACTTTTTTTAATCACAAAGATTTGTATACCCTTTAATTCCAAAAGATTCAAAGCAGAAATCAAGTTAAGGGCATTATGAAAATCTAGCCAGAAATTCAACATTCCCTGCACTTTCTGGGACTTTGTGTATCTGTGTGTGTATTAATGATGATGACTGGGCTAATTACAGAGAATGTGTCTTTCAGGTACTGTCTGACAGTGTTATATAGACAAAATCTGGTGCTGAAATTGCTTACATTTTTTTAAAAAGTGAGCAAGTTCAATTTTAATAAACTGAGCAAGCAAAGTTCATTTTAATAAACTGAGATATCAAGAAGACTTCACAATTATGTACCAGCCTGTAAACAAAAAAGGACACGTGAGCCTACAAATCATCTTTTGTTTGCAGGCTGGTGCATAATGTGAAGGCTTCTTGGCATCTCAGTTTATTAAAATGAGCTATAATTGAACTTGCTCACTTTTTTCAGGCAAGGATAACTTCAGATCTACCAAAAGCTGACGCTACAGCCCAACATCCTGGCATATCTAAAAGTTTTTTATTGGCTTACATAAGCATAGAAACGACAGTTGTTGGAAACCATCCTGGTTTGTTTATTTATTCATACATAGCTTATTAAGGCTTGTTCATTGCAGGAAGTGAGAAAGGGAAAGAAGGCACATCCAGCCAGCCTACGAATGGGACTGAGAAAGGCTAAATATGTGTATGTTTTCCCCCTTCACATAATAAAGATAATACAACCCATTTCCCTTTTTTCCTTAAAAAAAAAAACCCACTGTCCTTTCTTAGTCAAAGTGACCCCTCCATGTGGGTAATGATTAGTGTTCACTTCTTTTCACATGAACAAAGGAGTTGATGTTCCCAATCATTCTTTCTTTCTCCCCAAGAAGCAATGACTGAAGAGTCCAACTCTGGAAACCAATTTACTCCCCGAGATGCTTCACTGCTTACCAAGGTTGTACCACATGTCCCTTATCTTGAAGCCAATTTCCTTCCTCATATCCCCATATCTACAAACCGGAAAAAAAAAGAAGGAGCGTTCAATGATTTTGCTTAAATCTCCAGGAATAAAATAAAAGATTGGACCAACGCTGCCCCAGGGATCACCTTTGGGATGCAGTCTGAAATGTCCTTTCAAACATGCATTCACATTATTGCAATTAATGCTTTATTCATTTATTGATTTGCTTGGGTGTTTGTTTTATATTATTTATAGGATTTATATAGCCAACCATCTCACACAAGTGACTCTGGGTGACTTACCAAGATGAAAACCCACCACATATAATCCACCCAGGGCCCGAAGATAAACAATAACCCCACTCACCCAAAACACATATCAATAACAACAGTCAGTAACACATCAATAACAATTGCATTAATTGTAAGTGATAAAAGTTGAAGGCAATTGCCACAAAGGTGCAAAACCTGAGTTGTGCCTATAAAAGCATGGGGGTCTGCATGGTGTAGCAGTTAAGGGTGTTGGAGCAGGACTGAAAAGATCCAAGTTTAAGGTGCCTCTTAACTATGGAGGCTCACCAGATGTCTAGGTGTCTGGTTATTTGGTAGCTGCCTAAAACCAACACTGATCCTTTTCCAAGGACCACTGTCAGAGAGTGTCTCTTTAGCAGTATTTATTGAGATGAATGGGATGAGGTTACAAAAATTCAAGCAACTAATCAATTTCCTTTTAGAGACAAGATATCCCTGTGAATGTTAGGGTGAAGACTTTCTGATCTTTCTAACAGTTCTCCTGTAATATGGTAAGAAGGCAGGTCCTTTCATTGATAAAGGAGAAGGTTGGTGTTTACCTTACTATCTCCTGAATCTAAATCAGTTTGGGAACCAACTATCACATGAGACTAGTCACTCTCTTGCTCGCCAACATACAGGTTCATTGTTGTGGGGATAAAATTGGAGCTGAGAACACTAACTATACTTCCTTTGATTCCAGAGAAAAAGTAGAATGTGCATCTAATAGATAAATATTTAATAAAGAAATCAGCCAAGCTTTTTTGGCTGATATAAAATTGATGCATATTTTTAGATATACCCACCCTTCAGATTTTCAGTATCATTCATTCAGGAAAATGTGATGGCACTGAAGTCATTAAAGTACCAAGGGGGGTGGGGAACTCGAGTGAAAATAAAAACTCAAGTGAAAACTTACTTTTTCATTATCTTGTTCCGTTTAGCCTGAGAGAAAGTCTCCAGTTGAAGGGAATCATGGGTAAGAAAGGCTACTGCCAAGTGGAAGTAATTATTCCATAGCTATGGGAGTGTGGGGGAGAGAGACAAATCAGATAAAACAAACAATAAAGCAAGATAAAATCAAACAATAGCATGTAAGATAGAACAGCTGGTTTAGTGCAATGTGTTGACCAAATTTAGGTATTAGTATCTATGGTCCTGCTCTTACAATTATTGGAGAGGCAAAGTATCCTAGGAGAAAAGCTGCTGGATTTGACAACCAGGGTTTTAATTATCCACTGTGCCCTGAAGTATATGATTCAAGGTCACCTACAGTCTTCATTGCTAAACATGGATCTAAATTTGGATTTCTTAGTGGTGTGGTATAGTCGGAACACTGTAGGACAGATCTCAATAACTGTAGCTTCCTGAACCACCTCATGGCTGCAGCAGTCTTACAGAAAATAACTCCTGTGGAGTAAATTAACAGATATTTATAGGATTGTAATATATGCCACACCCAGCATGGCAGGCTTGATGACCTGCCATTGGCCTAAGTCAGAGATGAGCAACCTGAAATCTAAGTGTCTTATGGAATCTCCTGAAACATTATTTTTTTTTCTTTTTCTCTCCAATCACTGTTGCCATAGTACAGCATCCTGTTAATCTGAGGTGAGACTTACCTGGATACTGTAGAGTAAAATATTAATGTAGCTAAAAGACAAAGGAATGCCTTCTTAAGCTCTTCAGCATTTCAGGAGAGAAGAGAACTTGGCAAGTAATATCATCTGTCACGATTTCTGATGCCTTAAAAATGTTAAGCAGGACCCCTTGTCTATCTCTGGTTTTCCATATTTTCCAAGCAAGTGCTCAGATTTGACAGCTTTTTCTTTAAAAAGTAGATTCTCATTTCAAATGGCCATGACTGATGTCTGTTTTACAAACTTGGCAAACTGTAAAGACTCACCTCCCAGACAACCACTTGGCTTTTGTGATTAAAGAGAAGGGATGTTCTCCCTTACCTGGAGCTCAAAGCTTGCTTGATCCAAGAAGAAGCGGTTGAGCACAGAGGCATACTGATTTATGGCTCGAAGGAAAATCCTGGAAAAGTGCAGGGGGAAAAAAAAGCCATTTAAAAAAAGACTTTGGGACAGAGGCAGAGGCTTAAAGCTCCTTTTCATCTCTGTGAAACTACAGGAAGTGCCTGCTGTCTGTTCACAAGTTCTTTGGCATAATTTGTATTTTTACTGCTCTTAAAGCAATGGTGCCAATTTTCATATGCATATCTATATTCTCGAAGCATGATTCAGAAGGTTCTAAGCAGCCACAGTCAAGAGAATTGACAAGTTAGCAAGCTACTAAAGACAGAGAAATAAAATCACTAAGAATAGCCAGGAAATCCAGAAGGGATTCTCAGTGTCATACTTAATTTTATGCAGACCAGGCTTCAAGGATCCTGGAACAATGGCCATTGATTGATACACTGTACTAAATATGTGAAAAAACAAAGAACTGGAGGAAAAAAATGTTCTGGGCTACAGATAATAGACTTTTTACCTGCTCTGCATCATATTCATAACCATCCAGTCACTTGCATAGACATTTTTTCCAATCAGGTCTTTAAACATGATGAAAGTTTCCATCAGAAAATCCTACGGGGAAGATAACAAATCAGATTTATATTAGCCCTGAAAAGCTTATATATCAGCCTTCCCAGATAAAATGTTCTCCAGATGTGCTTGGGCTCTACTTCCCATAACTGGATGTACTAACTGGGAATTCTGGGAACTGTATTCCCAACCTTTGCAGAGATCACCAGGCTATGGTCCTCCATGGCTTCCTGTGTTCCCCACCCTCTACCAGAGCCTTCCTAACATTGCCAATAAAAACCATTTTTACAATGGTACAAGTGGAAATTCTTTAACTACAAGTCATGTCACAATGCTAACTGTTTTAAATTAACTTAATTCAACATAACTTTTCTTCTAGTTGGGTCCTACCTACTTTTTGGAGTCAGACCCAAAGCCTTGCTACTTAAATGGCAACTGAGAATCTCATCTTAGACTACATTGCACTCGATACCTCAATCCTATACATCTCAAGAAAAAGATTTAAGAAACTTTAAGAAATACTACCTAAACAACCAGGTTTCCTTCCAAAAATATGCTTTTTATTTTTAAATACTTCAAGATAGTATATGTAGCATTTTTCCCCCCCACCCCAAAAAAGATTTCCCCCACAACCATAACCATGGAAACTATGTTTCATTAACAGAGAATGGCCTAAAGTCTCCCCAGGTTTCATGAGTGAGAGTGAGCTCAAAGTGTGCCCTCAACAGTCTAACACTTAAACAATATCCTACTGTTCTCCATCATGTTATGGATGAATGTTTTCCTTTCCACCCATTTTTAGTGCATGTGATGTGGGTGTAGAGATACACAAACAAAATATACCCCAAGGATGGCACATATAATAACTTTGCTGCGGGAGCTGCATTGGGTCCCAGTTTGCTTCCAGGTCCAATTCAAGGTGTTGGTTATTACCTTTAAAGCCCTACATGTTACTTGGGGTCCAGGTTACTTGAGGGACCATCTCACCTCCATTACATCAACCCGTCTCACCCAGTCAGGCAGAGAGGATGTTACAGACCCTGTCAGCGAGAGAATGTTGGCTGGTGGGGCCCAGGAGGAGAGTCTTCTCTGACGTTGCCCCTGCCTTCTGGAATAATTTCCCCCGCAAAGGTGCGGTCAGCCTCTACTCTCCTGGCTTTCCGGAAACAACTGAAGACCTGGTTCTGCCAGCTTGTGTGGGGGAAGAAGAGCTTTAACCAACCCTGGGGTTGGCTGGCGCCCTAATGATGCTCCCCGAGCCTAATAATTCCTAGCTACCATCACTTCTTGGAAGATATTTACTATTTATTTAGGACTAATTGTTATATTGTATTTTTAATTAATATTTATCTTTTCTGTAAAC